GCTTTATTGACTTGGCACCTATGAACGGGTGGCTACAGGCCCCCAGTGTTCTTTGCTATTGCAAAGTGGAGGTTCTGTGGTGGGGGCAGCATAAATCAGAGATGCTGGTTCCAGCTGCAGGGAGGGGCCACTGTCCCTGTTTGGCCCCTCCAGTCCCCTTCTTCAGCCAAGCACCATCTGAGTCCGGGCCCTCAAAGGGGTAGGCAAGGGCAACGACCCAGGTTCTTCCACAGTCCAAGGCAGTCTAAGGTAAGAGCTGTAGGTGTCTCCTGCCTTCCCTCTTCTTGGCGATTCCAAGGTGGTGGGGGTAAGGGGTAGACCTCATTTTCAGAAAGTCCCTGAACCTCCTGGACTGGGTTCCAGGAAGGCAGGATCAAGGACCCCTACCAAAGAGGTTAGGAGTCATTCCGTTCCCCCAATTTGTTTTGGCTGAGCAGAAAATGGGAGCTTTCATTGAATTGGGCCCACAAAGCTGATGACAGGTGAGGTCACACAATAAGTTGATGGGATACAGCTAAGTTCTTCCAATGCAGGACCATACCATCTGGGCAGGCTGTCTCCCAGGAGGGAGGGAAGGGCTGAGTGAACTGCAGTTGTCACAGGAGAAAGACTTCCTGCAGGAAGAGGGGCAGGCCACAGTAGGCTCCCAGAAGAGGTGGTCTGCAGAGCAAGCTGGGTCACAATGGCCGGCACAGGACACTGGCATCCTCACTGTGGTCACAGTTGTGGGCATCCCAGCGGATGTGAGAGCAGAGCAAAAGGGCGCTCTCGTCCCCACGGCACTTGACATTGTCTAAGAGGATAGGGCCTCGACCTGGGCCAAAGTGGGCCTCTCCAGGGGCTGCCAGAGCCTGGCCACAGCCCAGCTGGCGGCACAGGACACCAGCTGCCCGCAGGTCCCAAGCATCATCACAAACAGTGCCCCACCGCTGCCCTAGGAAGAGTTCTACACGTCCCTCGCATCGGTGGGCTCCATTGGCCAGACGTAGGTGCCCTGTGGGGGGACAAGGCCCGGGGCTGGAAGGCACTGACCCATGCCAGGCCACTCCCAAGTAAAGCCGGGAAAGGGGCAGATAGTGGAGGCAAAGGGTGGTGGTCTGAGACACAGCACTGCCCTGGGAGCCACTGAACAAGGGCAGACAAATGAGATTAAAATAGGAGGGACATCAGTTTAGACTCAGTCTCCAGATGGAAGAACATGTACAAGGCTTTGTGGGGTGCTCTGGGCATGCTAGGTGCTCTATTTCTGTTCTCTCCTTAGTCCTCTGTTCATAATCTGTGGACCCCAGGGCTGCTCCCTGGAGACTGTGATTGTGTCCCATGAAGTCATAATTGCCTCCCTTCATCCCCTGGACTCCCCAGGCAAAGGAGTGAATTGTTTCATTTTTCTCCACAGGACAGGAGCCCCATCCCCTCATTTTGGTCCCATTTCTGAAATCTCTAGGTTCCTCTAGCTTAAAACCCGAATCCTTCTCTCTGGACACCATACCTCTATTAATGAGACTAGAGACTAGCAATAGAGGACAAAGGTTTCAGAACCTGGTGCAAATCTGCTGAGCTATATAACTCCAGGTTGTGACCTCCCCCAATTCTGGTCCTTCCTATCCGGATGTCTCCATCTCCCTCTTGGGGTCTGTGGTCACCTACCGTCCCTGGGTCGAGGAGTGGGCACCCGGGTGGTCTCAGAACCATCCTGCTGGACTTGCAGTCCTAGCTCCTCTGGGCCTGGCTCAGAAAAGACAAAGAAAAAGAGATGACTGTCACATTGGAGAACATGTTCCTTGAGGCCATGTCACCTCCTACCCTCCCAAGGGATGCCTGATCTAGGGAACAACAGACTTCACAGGGCCCTAAAGAACTGCGCTGCACCCCAGGGGTCAGAAATGATGACTGCTTGCTTTCACCCCGGTGCCCAAAGCAGAATTCTTTGTAGCCAAGGCTGCTAGGCCGGGAGCACCAAACGCAGGTGAAGATATCAATTCCCACACCAATCAATAAACAGAAAAGCATTTAAAAATGTCAGACTCTGCAAACACCCCTTTCCATTGATTCCTCCCAAAGGTCAGACGCTTGCTCCCCGGAAGCGAATCACCTCTGACTTTGCGGGTCCTTGACTCAGCTGAGCAAAACAGCCCCGCCCATACAAATTTAAGAATTTATCCCTGGCTTCTGGTCTCTCATCCCGGGCTTCGCCCCTCACTGCCCTAAATCACACGCCCTCCCCAGGCCCCGCCCCACTCTCTCACTGCAGAGGTAGCTCCCTTCCTGCCCGGCCCAAGCCGCGCAGCGGCGGAGTGCGTCAATGGGCGGGCTCCGCCTCTCTGCGGAGTGAGCGTCCTCACCGACTCCGCTCACGCAGCAGTGCCGCAAAGAGCACTCACGTGCGGCCCCGCCCATTTCTCCACAAATCCCACCCCGCCCGCGCCGCACTGCGTGCCTACGTGCGACTCGGCTTTTTTCTCAGATCCTGTCTTGCCCGTCCACGCCACCGTATGCACCTGCGCGCCCCCGCGCTGCAGTGCGTGCCTACGTCTGGCTCCGCCCATTTCTCAGTTCCGGCCTTTCCCAGCTGGTGCCGCAGTACCAGCCGGTGCCGCAGTACGAGGCTGCGCGCGTCCCCGCCCATTCCTTGTTGGCTGCGCTGCCTGGCCCGCCTAATAGCGCACCTAGGTGCGCCGTTCGGCCACGCCTCACCTGAGCAGAGCGCGCCCGCATCCTCGTGGTGACCGCAGTTGTGCTGACCCCAGCCCAGGTGGAAGCAGTCGCTTAGGCGGGCCTCCGTGCCAGCGCAGCCCACGTTGTCCAGCAGCACTGGGCCGCGGCCGTAACCGAAGTGGCCGAGGCCCGTGGCGCCCAGCGCAGGCCCGCAGCCCGCCTCGCGGCAGGCCACACGCGCATCCGCGAAATCCCAGTCATCGTCGCACACGGTACCCCAGCCCCCGGCGTACATCACCTCCACGCGGCCGCGGCACGGGCCTGGGCCACCCACCAGCCGCAGCCGTCCGCCTGCAGGGCGCACAGGCCCGCGACCAGAGGGGCTGGGCTGGAGCCACCTGCTCTGGAGCAGAGCCCCGGCCCCACCCTCTCCCACCCCGCTCATGGAATCCCTCCTTTGCCACTTACTTTTCTTCCCTGCGGCCCAGGAGGCTGTGGTGAACAGTGCTGTCTCCCTGGAAGGCAGGACACCAACTCTTGTAGCTGCAGAGACAGGACACCTAGAGCATTCGAAGGGGACAAAGAGGCCTTCTGGCCTACAACAAAGGCACCTACTGAGATCCCCCAACTGTACCACACCTGCGACCCACACTCAGCCTCAATCCTAGAGTCATCATGTTGATTGGTGTGGTAGAGTCCTCAGCAAACTTGATTGGAATGAACTGAATCCTATTTCCAGGCATTATCCTAGTTTCAATCCCAATGATAGTTTCAGCCCTAATTCCAAAGTGTACTTATATCCTTTATTCAACCTTTATCTCAACCCTCTCACAAGGCCTCTCAATACCCAACTTCAGCACCAAACCGAATTTTACTTCAGGGCTTTGATGAAATCACTTACTACCCCCTCCCACCCTGCTGAACTTTTCAAAGGTCTGGATTTCATCCTTGCTCCATCTGCTCATCTGTTTTCTCACCCACCTCAACCATCTGGCCAAAAGCCCTGGGCTACTAGCCAGGGCCCCCTTCCTGTGGATCCTAACAGCCTTCTCAATTCCCAACCCTACTCACCTTGCCCCTACCATTCTAGCCTGGAGGGCTATGCTCCTTACCCTCTGGCTGTGTGTGCCAGGCCCAGTCCTCTCTCGTGGCTGAGGGTGGCAGTGCTGTGAGAGTGGGGGGGCCTAGAACTAGAGTGGGAGAGAAGGGAGCAGGGTCAGAGGCCGATGTTCTGATTCCTGGTCAGCCTTTGGCTGTCAGGATGATGTTGTCTGTCTGAGGAAGACAACAGAACTGGGAGCTTAGCCCCAGTTGGAGTCCAAAAAGGTCTGTCCCACTTTGACAGCGGTTGTAATTTATTTGTGCTGCATAGGTGTACACATCACAGTTTATACAGGGCTTTCACAGACATGCTTTCATTTCTCTCGTGTTCTCAGAAACCCAATGTCCATGATGGGGAGATAGTAGAAAAGGCCTTGCCTACTGTGGAGGGCCATGCATGGCCCTGAGAGGCTTGCAGAGCAAGACTCATTATCCCAATCCTACAGATAAGATAGGACTAGAAAAGGCAAGGGGCATACTCGAGACCATGCAGCAAGGTTCGCTATGACTTTGCCAGGGCTCACTGTGTGACTATGGGTATGGCTCTGCCTCACTGGGTTTCAGCTTTCCCATCTGTAAATTGGGAATGATGGCCTCTGGCATGGGCAAGCATTTTATATCTTATTGGCCCTACTGTTTGTATTTGCTCAGAAAACCTCTCAAGATGGGAGAGGAGACAAGAGGGGGAAATATTATAAGAGCATCAAAATTACAGAGGGCTGGGGCCGGCCAAGTAGCACGTTGGTTAAGAGCTGGCTTGGGACGTCAGCTCTGAGCAGCAGGGCTGCTGGTTCGGATCCCACATGGGCCAGTGACGCTGCACCCTTTACAGCTAAGATGGTGAACAACAGCTCGACCTGGAGCTGGGCTGCTGTGAGTGGCCGGCGACGGCGTAGGCTGCAGCCCCTGCTGCAGTGGGCTGCCATAAGCTACCCTTTGTGGCCGGCAGCCAGCGTGAGCGGCCGGCAGCCAGTGTGTGCTGCCAAGAGCCGCCATGAGTGGCCGTCCAGAGGCCGGTGACCGATCTGCCTCACCCGAGAAGAGCGCAATGATAATACCAACATGGGCCAGTGAAGCGACGTCCTCCACAACTAGACTGAAGAACAAAAGGACAGCAACTTGTCTGTTCCCCTCC